CCGCGCCCCTGCGCTGGCCGGGGCCCGAGTGCCGGGACGAGGACGCGGGCGACGCAGTGCAGGGCGCGGTGGCAGCTGCGATCTTCCCGCCAGCGCCAGCGCGCACGGCGGATGGCCCGGCGTCCCCTCCGCGCCCCACCTCCCGCAGCTCTCCCAAGAGCTCCGACAGGTCCAAGAGCTTCAGCATCGACAGCATCCTGGCGGGAAGGCAGGGCCAGAAGCTGGCCGGAGGGAGCGAGGTCCCGGGGGCCGCCAAGCCGGGGCCCGGAGGGCTGGGCTCCTCGCTCCTGGTCGCCTCCTCCGGACTCCGGCCGCCTTTCAACGCCTCCCTCATGCTCGACCCGCACGTCCAGGGTGGCTTTTACCAGCTGGGGATCCCTTTCCTCACCTACTTCCCTCTGCAGCTCCCTGACCCGGCGCTGCCCTTCCAGTAAGCCGGCGGCGCGCGCTCCTTCCCTGCCCACGCAGTCGGAGCCTCCTCGGAGCCACCGCCGGCGCCCGCGGATGAAGGGAGGGCGCACGTTCTTCTGAAAATGATCTTCTCTGGGTCCCGGGCAGCGCTGCTGCGGGCAAGTGGGCGCGCTCTGGGCCAGCACGCAGCGGCTTCGGGGATTGTAAAGACCCCTCCTGCCGGCGACTTGGGCACCCGAAAAGTCCACCGTGGGCACGCGCAGAACGCCCTGACCCTAGGGGCGCCTGATCGTGTGACCCCTGTGCCGGCATTAAGGCCCAGGCCACCCGAGAGCAGGACCCACAACCCCAGGGGTCTTTCCTACCAGAAAGCACAGAGTGCCCTTAGAGCGCCTGCCTGGTGGGTGCGCAGAGCTCGGTCCCCTCTGCAGGGCATCGGGTTCTCGGGAGGCACAGGCCCTGGTTACCATTTGTGACCCAGGTGAGGGTGGAGGCCAAGAAACCACCAAGAGCAGTATTTTACACAGAGAATTTTCCTCTTAATTTCTTTCTGGACAGTAAAAGAAACATGGGTTATTCTTTGCCTAAATATCTGACTCTTTCCTTTAAGGACTAACAGCTTCCAGTAAGGTGCACCTGTGTAACTCCTAGTAGGTGCACCCTTGTCGCCTTGTGATAGCTCTTGAATGAGCATTTGAGTGTTCGGAAGCATCTGTACCCGGTAGCCCACACCCAGCTTTTGCTTTCTTTTTAAGGGCTAGGGAAATTTCACTGGCTGTAGGGAGGGTGTGAGGGAAGGGAAGACGGCACAGATAACCTCAGTTTTTTATTACCGTGGCTTATCAAGCTGAGGTTTGGTTTTGGCAAATTTTCCAGAATCACGTAATGAAGGACCTCATTTAACCAGATGATCTGAGCGAGACAGACACAAAGCGGGAAGAGCGCGGGGTCCTTAAGATTGGGAAGAGTGAGAGAGCTGGAGTGCGGGGAGGATGCTCCTCAGGCCGTTCCCAGCCTCTGTGTCCCTCGGGGGCTGGTGGGCTATGGGAGGGTCTGCAGTTGAGACCCGGGTAAGAAGTGGAGATGTTCCCGGTCCCGCCACTGTGAAGCCGTGGAGGACATCCTCCCAGGCCCTGGGCTCCTGTGAGTTCTGAAATTTGATATCCTGAACCCTCAAGGCGCCTTCCCTGCATCTTCTGTAGGGAAGGTGTAAGACATCAGGAGCTCTTGGGCCTCCAGGAATGGTTTGAGTCCTTCCCAGGGCTCCTAGGAAAATGATCACTGACTTTAAGTCAACAGGACCTGCTGCTCAATACGTTCGAAGGGACACCGCAGGCGTGCATCGTAACTTCATACCTCCTAGACACAGAGGTGGCTTCCTGAGAATTTGTCCTGCATCTGCGCCAAGCCTAGCCCTGCTGACCGGACACTGCCGGGGTGGGCTGGGCCCTGCCCGGGCTGGCGGGAAGACTTTGGGGAGCTATAGGGCCTGGATTTAGAGGGCTTTGCTGAGACCCCAGTGGGGAGGTCCAGGCCCAGTGTGAGTCACCTGAAATGCAGTGGAAGGGCTGTCACTGGATGTTCTGTTATCCCCAACTCCCGGACTCTGTGAATAAAGTTGTTCTTTCATTAACCTCGCAGCAGCCGGTTCAGTGGATTACTGGGTAGAAATAAACAAACAGAGAACAAGGGACGAGGGGCCTGGGGTGTGCTTGAGACTCTCAGGTCTGAGTCTTGGAGGCCCTGGCTTCTGAGAGATAAAGACAGGGTATAGATAGGGGACTCCTTGGAGCACTGGCAGGGCCTGGACGTCAGAAAGGAGGAACCATTCTGCTGTGCTGAAAGTTTTTATTTTTTTCCATTTTGCTTGATATGCTGTCTTATGTGTTTTTGCTAGTTTGTGGTAACTTTTTTTTAGAGAAGCAAATAATTTAATGCTGCTATTTAAGAAAAAATAACGTTTTAGCTGGGTATGGTGATGCACGCCTATAATTCCAGTACTCTGGAGGCTGAGGCAGGAAGATCACTGTGAGTTCCAGGCCAGCCTGGGCTATATAGCAAGACCCTATTTCAAAAAACAAAACATAACTAAACAACACTTTAGACTATAATTCAAAAAGCAAGAGCATTACTTTGAAGGCGCAGAGAAGTGCCAGAATATGTATCTACTTTGTAAGTTCTTGCTTACATCAAGAGAAATTCTATCTGACCCCAACTTTCAACAGGTTTAGACAGTATGAGAAGTGCACGGCGTGGACTGCAGTTCTGTGCACTTCTGTGCATAGTTCTTCCTACTGCAGAAGAAGGGGGCCTTTGACCCTCATGTCTAGGTTTCTGTATTTACCCACTGTCTCAGACTTGATTGTTTGTTTGTGGTGCCAGGAATTGAACTCAAGACCTTGTGCTTGCCAAGGGGCCGCTGTGCCATTGAGCTATATCCCCGACCCTGGCCTCAGACTTGAGGATCAGGGAGACCAAGACGTGGTCTCTACTCTTAACATAAAATCTCAGCTCTACTGGGGTAAACTGGAAGCAAACTCATTCTCCTCCTCTGTAATCTGAAGGTGTTTGCTCCTGATGAGTACGTGGGTCAGACTGTGGGACATGACTGGTGCATTTGTAATGATTAACAAGTGTGTATACGTGTGCATGCGTGTGTGTATGTCTGTACACATATATGTGTAGTATATGCACACAAACACATTTGTTCTGTGCATACAAATGCTCATCAAACCATGATTTTTGCTCATCGGTTGGACTTTGGTCAAGGGACTTGAGTCCTTTCATATCAACTCAAAAACTGATGTCGTTTGAAAGATTTTGTTTTCCTATAGAGCTCAAACTGGGGGTGAATTATTTTTGCATTATTATAATGAAGCTAAGACTTTGTGCAGGAATTGTGGAAGATGGCCCAGCCCTGGGAACTTCACTTCCCCTGCTTTTCCGAGGACAGGGGCCTCTGCAGAGGCCTTTTGCTGTGTCTGGCTCCGGGTCTGAGCTGGTCTTGAGATGCAAATGGCCCTCTGGCTGGCCAGTACCCCCTGGGGCTTAGAGGACACTTGTTTAGCCATGTTCAGATATGGTCCCGTCCTCGGACATGGGGCCGTATGTTGTTTCCTCCTCTCCACACGGAGCTGCCTGTGGACGTCCATGAGTGGGTTGAAGGGTTAGTCTCTTATAGCTGTCGGTTCGTCTGAGCCCCGCCAGAGCCACCCGTCCACACATGGGGAGGCCGACGGCCCCGTCACAGATGTGGGTGACGGGTTCCTGCTCTGAGAGGAAATCCAGTGCGAGCCACACTTCCTGGTGGCTGCAGTCTCGCTCCCATGAAGTGAAGCTTGTTTTACCGTGTGGACAATGCAAACGGTGCCAAGCACAGTTCATGATTAGAAATAGGAAGTGTGAGATTGTCGGACAGCTGAGGCACTTGTGGTCTGCGTTCACAGCAGATTAAGATGGGCCTGAGTAGACAACTGGCGAGGCCTTGGCTCTCTGGTCTCATCCAGAGGCCCAGTGCCAGGTTCTGCAGGCCCAGGCAATGCCGAGGGTGTTCACAGTGACCTGGGAGGGCAGGAGGAGGGCGGGGCGGGGCTGAGCTGGAAGCAGCTCTGTCCCTTCACATGGCCTCCGAGCTCGGCCGACTGCACCAGCCAGTCAGATCCAAGCTAAGACTCTGGGAATCTGCAGCATGAGATGCGTGGGGACCCGAGGCTGTGTTTGAGGTGCATGGGGACCAGATGGCTGTGTTTACACCGGCAGTGAGGAGGAGGCAAAGGAAGGTGGTGAACAGGGATTTGGCCTGAACTCATTTTTTTCTATAAGAATCGAGGTCCATTGAGGAGGGCTGGTGGAAAGGCCGTTTGGACAGATTTCAGCATGTGTGGGTTGGGTAGATGGACCCCGAGCTGGGAACTGTTCCCCCCTTGCCTCACCCTGCCCTGCACTCCTCACCATGTGAAGGAGCCAGAAACTCTTCTGCTCCGCTTGGCTGAAGCCCCTCACAGTGCAGGCAAAGCGAGCCCGGGGGAGTCTACCTGCTGGCCCAGTGGCCACGCTGGGCGCGGGAGCGTGGCCAGCACTTTAGCAGCGGCAGGGAGTTGGGCCATTGTGACCGCACTGTGACGCACAAGCCCTGAGAGGAGGCTGTCCCAGCAGCTGGGTGCTCCCTTCCCAAGCTCCCACAGGAGGTGGCAGCCCCAGACCTGGTCCGGAACCCCCTGCAGGCCTGTATGTGGCTCCCCAGGGTTTTCCCCACCCCACTGTCTCTGCCCTCTTGTCACAGGGCCTGGCAATGACTTGCTGCTTTGCCTGAGGGCTGCATGCACCTGCAGAGCTGTGAGCATCTGAGACAGAGCCCCTCTACCCTCCGGATGGTGTTCTGGCTGCGACACTCTGTGCTGCCTTCTAGAACATGTCAGTGTGCTTTGGTGTGGGCGTCCTCCAGCCCAGAGCAAGGAGGGCACCCAGGAAGGGGTCTCGGGTCCAGGATGGCACCGGCGTGCAGCCCTCTTGGGAAGGGAAGGGAGCCCAAGGGTCACAAGTCAGGTGACCTTGACAGCACTAACTTCAAAGCACGACAGCATAAGAAAGGAGAAAGCCCACACCAGCCCAGCCTCCTGGGCCTACACAGCCCTGCCGGGCAGCTGGTCACCCTCTGCTCCCCAGTCTGTCTCCACTGGGCCACCAGGGAGGAGAATCCACATCATCAGCGTCCATGGCTTCCTTCCCTTTGAGGCCTTGGTCTCTGGGTGGGTGTGGAAGGGACACACTGACCTCAAAGAGGCCCAGATCCCAGCTCTGCCCTGCCTGGCTATTGATCCTGGCAAGGTGACCTCACGTTTCCGTCCTTTACCTGCATCACCTGCCCCATGGAGAGGACCTCCGTCACTGCCTCAGAGCCATGAGCGCATAACTGATTGCTATGAACTCACTAAGACAACACCTGCCTCGGTTCTTATCTGGAAAATGGGAGTGAGGACCGTACCTCCTACCTCAGGCCATGCTCAGAGATAGAGGAGCTGGGATATGTGAACTGTCTCTCAGGCTGGAAGGCCTGGAAGGGCTTGGAAGCGGTAGGTCTTATCGTTGTACACAGCCGGCACCTCTAAGCTCATTTGCAACTTCTCAGCTCAGGATGTTACACCCTCCTGGAGCAGCCAGGGTTCCTGGGCCGCCTCTGTGCACCCACCTCAGTCCTGGTGACCAGTTCCCTCTCCTGAGGCTGCTGGGCCATTTGATCGTGAAACCAAAAGCGAAACAAGCTGCTGGGCGTGGCAAGGGACCCTGCTTGAGAGATGACTGAGAAGGAGAAGACACACCCTGCCTGCCTGGTGCCTGGCGACACCGGACTGGCTGCTTCCGGCCGGCGGTCCAACCACAGCGAGCTCCGGGGCCTTGAGTGATTGAGGCCCTTCCTGTAGGCCCAGAGCGCCTCTGCCCTCTCCTGGGGAGAAGGGGACCGGCCAGGAGCACTGTTCCCTCAATCCCTGCTTTTCAGGGCCAGCCTTATAAAGTGTAAAGAGCATTTCTTTTAAATGCTGAGGCTAAATATAGCAGGGGCTTGGTCAGCTAGAACATTTTTAGAAAGCACATTACAAATCAGGAATGTTTTGGAGAAATAAATAAACTTTTCCCACATTTTTGGCGGTGGAGAAGGCACTGGCGGCCTGAGACCACAATGGAGCGGGTGATGAATAATTCATGGTGGTACTGCCCAGGGCTCCGCGGGTGTCTGGGCCCAGGTAGTGGGACAGGGCTAGCCATGGGGGCGGGTGGCCCCTGGCCCTCAGGGGGGCCACTCTTTATGGGTACAGAAGTGGGATTCAAGGGACACCAACCTCTTCCCAGGGCGTCTTCCTCTGGCCTCTGCTGGTCCTTGCAGGTGTCCACTTGGACATCCACCTGTGCAACAGCCACCGCTAAGCCCAGACCTTCTGCTCCTCTCAGCCGCGGCTCCCACAGCTTGCCCTCCCCCCCAGGGCTGTGGTCCAGCTGCCCTCGCGGGACCAGACAGGTGTATTGCTTCAAAGCTCCCGCAGTGATCCCAGTGGTTCTACAGCCAGAGCTGAGAGCCCTGCAGGGAGTGCAGGCACCGTAGGTGGTGTTCAGGGCCAGAGGAAGCTGCCCAGTGCTGCTCACCGCTTACTCTTTATTTTCCTCTGTACAATTTACGTGCGGCCGGAGCAGGCGCTCGGCGTCTCTCCACAACTCCTCATCCCTTCTCTCCAGTCTGTAGGGAGTCATGCTCCCCTTCGATACTCAGGGTCTGAGTTATGTGAGCACTAAGAGTGCATACATTCAG